AAAAAAAAAAAAAAAAAAAAAAAAAAAAAAAAAAAAAGGAACACAAGCTGCTTGCCTAAAATGGATCAAATGCAAGTAGAACTCGGGCGTCCTGGTCCCTGCCTGACCGGAAACTGACAGCCCGACGCCCAGAGCAGACAGTATATGAGCTTATGCCCTATAAGGGAAATAGAGATGCGCCCCATATCTATGACATAAGTGCATGTGCACACACGGGCATATAGAATTAACCCACGGCACAATAAGCTGTGAACAGAAGGTATACAGAGAGGGCCCAATTCCAATTTGCAACTGAAACATAGAGTGCATAGTGAATAGGACTCCGGAGAGCCAATAAAAAAAATATCCTTTAAGTTCCCTAGTATAAACTCAGTAATGTTGCAGGGTGTATTATTTTCCACTTTGTTGAAAATGTATACAGTTGAAGACACTAAAATGCATTAATGGTTATAGCATCGAAAAGAAATTACATATTTTTCACTGTGAAGTCATACATTACCTTACAGGATGCTGAAACCCGAAGGCCCCCCTCGATCTCAACGTTTGTGGGTGTCCTCTGGGCTCACGCTGTAAAGACAGACACAACACAGGTATAGCAAAGGAGTAGCGCAAGATACCATCTGGAGGTTTTTTTGTTTTATCTGGAGGTTTTTAAAGATAAAATCTGGGGATGGGCGTGGTGGCGCACGCCTGTAATCTCAGCACTCAGGAGGCTGAGGCAAGAGGATCACCGTGAGCTCTTGAGGCCAGCTTGAATTGCATAGTGAGACCCTGTCTCAAAAAAGACAAAAAAAAAAAAAAGATAAAATCTGGGTAGTCTGCAACTGTTGCTCTCAGACCAGTTGTGTTGTTTTGTTCTATTCTGTTCTGTTCTGTTGAGATAGGGTCTCACTGTGTAGCCCAGGCTGGCCTAGAACTCATGGCAGTCCTCCTGCCTCAGCCTCCCAAGTGCTAGGATTACAGGTGGGTGCCACCTGGCTCAGTGCCAGTTTCAGAGAGTTAAACACCTCTTCCGGTTACAGTTCTTTGTGTTAACCTTGTCCACAACATCCACGGCACTTTGAGGGAGTGAAAGAGGGACAGAGTGCCTCAGCCTGGGAGATTCAGAGCCTAAGGAAGAGAGATGCAAGCCTCTGAGAGCAGCTATGCTAAGTGGGGAGGAGGGGAAAGGCAGGAGCTCAATTCCCAGTGTGCCTGACAGACTGAATGCCGTGCCACTTTGAGAGGGGTGGGGCAGAGGGACAGGGACGAAGCACCCAAGATCATGACTAAAGGGCTCCTGAGGGAGGCTGAGGCCTCATCCCGACGCCTTCCATACCCATACTGAGCTGAGGTTTGATCCTGAGACCCAGGTTCTAAGCCAGGGAGTTCAACGATCAGATCTGAGCTCTCTGGAGAGGGGGGGCCACCTGGAGCTGTGCACAGACTGGATTCAATAAGGCCTTGAAGCTGGCTGGGCATGGTGGTGGCGAACGCCTGTAATCTCAGTATTCAGGAGGCTGAGGCAGGAGGATGGCTTCGAGTTTGAGGCCCGCCCGGGCTACAAAGTGAGTTCAAGGACAACCTGATTTGCATAGGAAGACTCTCTCAAACAGACAAAAAAAAATTAAACAACAAGGCCTCGCAGGCACCAGTCTTGGTAAGAGAGGAAGGCGTGAACTGAGGCGGCGGCCTGGAAGGGTAGGGTGGGCAGGTGGTCCGGGTGCCAGGTGCTGAGGACAATGGTGACAAGACATAAGCAGAGTGAGGCCTGTCCACGGCTGTAGGCCGGCGGCACCAAACCTGTGCAACACTGCAAGGAAAGACTCTGAGAAGCCAGGCTGGGTGGGGACACCTGCAAATCCCAGCACTTTCGAGGCTGAGGTTGGAGGATCACAAATTCTAAGCCGGTCTGGTCTACATAAAGGAGGGAGAGAGGGAGGGCAGGAAAAGACTGAGGTGCTACATGTCTGTAATCCCAGCACACAGGAGGCTGAGGCAGGAGGGTCACGAATTTGAGGTCAGCCTGAGCTACATAATGAGACCCTGTCTCAAAACAAACAAACAAAAAAAGGCCCCTGCAGACATTACAGTTCATCAGCCATATTTTATAATGATCTATGATGAGACAAGGGGAGGGAAGTGAGGCTTTGAAAAAGAATCTTTTGCATTGTTCTTCATCTTTGGAGGGTGCTACAGGAAATTATTTCTGTGTTAAAAGCTGTTTCTAAGCTGGGTGTTAGGGCTGGGGATTTAGCTCAGCGGCAAAAGCGCCTGCCTGGCAAGTCCAAAGTCGTGAGTTCGGTTCCCGGTACCGGAGAAAAACCAAAAAAAACCAAAAAGGCTAAGCTGGGTGTGGTGGCCGGCCTGGACTACATAGTGAGCCCCTCTCAAAACTCCAAAAACACCTCTGCCCCCACAAAAAAAAAAAAACAAAAAGCAAAAAACACCAAAGAGCTGTTTGTGACTGTAAACCATCCCTGAGTGCTCCGGCTCCCTCTCCCACCCCAAGGCCTCCAGAGGAGCCCACGCCCTGTGATGGGGCAGAGGCTGCCGTAGCCGGAACAACTTTGGTGGACACTAGAAAGCGTGGACACTGGGCAACTTCCCACAGCACTAGGGAAGGATGAATTCCTAAAGTGCCCGTGTCGGTGGCCTCTGAATCACAGAGCATGCTTTTATATAAACTTTATGATTATGACTATGATTGTTATTATTTGGTCTTTTTGAGACAGGGTCTCGCTATGCAGTTCAGGCTGGCCTTGAGCTCACTCTGTAGCCCAGGCTGGTCTAGAACTTGCAACAATACTCCTGCCTTAGCCTCCCAAGTGTTGGGATTACAGGCGTGCACCACCACGCCCAGTAGCTTTTATAAACGTGAAAATCTACCCCTCGGACACACACAGCTTTCAAGTGTTATGTTATAAATACCCTGATTATTTCCTCAAAGATCTTATTAAGGATCCTTTTTCGCAGAAGGAAACCTCCACATGTTCACGTCTAGATAACTAAGCGGAAAGAGAAATGTACATAGGTTAAGCGCTGCGTTTAAGGGGTGGGTGTTTCCTTAAGGTCCTGACTTGCAGCGGGAGGGCAGACTTGCAGCGGGAGGAGTGTGCCGCTGGCCGGGCTAAGGTGTGCACGAGGCACTGGGGCCTTTCCTCAAACTTAGAGAGCATTCTAACATTGATCAACTCGTTGTAAAACCTAGTACAGGGTTACCCTCTCGTTCTCCTGTGCCATTTCTGGAGAAAAATGGCAGGGCCTGGAGCCCAGAAATTCTCCTGCTATGTCTGGAGAGGGCACCAGTGAGCAAGGCACGTAGAGCTGGTCAGGGCTGACAGCCAGCCAGGCAGCTGCTCAGCCGAACATTTCTCCGCAGGTCATCTCCGCTTTTCTCACCAACGCCTCTCACCCAACGAGAGAAAAAAGTCCAAAGCCCCCTGCTTGCGTTAGGCAGTGTGCTAGAGCACCTTTGTTCTTGCAAAAAGAAACCAACAGGTTCTGCAGACATTTCAGTTAAAATAAAATTGGGTAATTGTAAGCCCCTATTCTCTCTCAAGCACCTATAAAATCTTATTCTTAAGAGATGGAGGGAAGCCAGGTGTGGTGCCTCACACCTGTAATCCCAGCACTTGGGAGGCTGAGGCAGGAGGATTGTTGCGAGTTCAAGACCAGCCAGGGCTACACAGTGAGGTCAGGGCCAGCCTGAACTGCATAGCGAGACCCTGTCTCAAAAAGACCAAAAAAAAAAAAAAAAAAAAAAAAGGACAGTTGGAGGGAAAGGAGGATAGGGGAAGGGGACATAAAGAGAATTCAGATGTGTTATGGAGGAATGTGGCCATAAGTGATGCAAACAGGGACTAATAAAGATAAAGTTTTAAAGAACTTATGTTTGAATGCAAAGGGAGGAATTATTTTCCCATTGCTTAGGCATTACATGTTAGAATAATTTGAGCCAAAAACCATCTCACTTGTTAATTTGCTGCATTTTTCTTCACAGTAAACAATGGCAACTGAATCAAAACTCTGAACTTTCGGATGACCTGCCTGAAGTAGAAAAACCACCAAATAGAGTGGTCTGCTCTGCCACACCTGAGCTTTCTGATCACATTACAAATAACTGCGCACTAAGCCACAAGCCTCGGGTTAGGCAAATCAAATACACCCTCCTTCCAGGCCAGAGGAGCTCTCCAGCGGTTTAAAAGTCATCGATTTATATTTAAATATCACAAATGAAAGCAAGTCTTTCCTTCAGCAAAGGTAACAGCTATTTAGTCACCCACGCAGGGTAACAAAAGAAGAGTAGTGGCTATTAATCTCTGTCCACAAAGCCCTGTGCTTGAGTGTATTTGCTCAGACAACAAGAGCTACCCAGCAGCGCCTGCAGACAGGCCCGCTAGTGCTTCAGAAAGGGCCAGACGGCGGCGGAGGCGGCGGCTTTCCCCTGCGCCCCGGGCTCCTTAGATGTTACTCGGCCCCTATTTGCACCAGGGCACCACGCCGGTGCTCGGGGTGCCCTCCGCTTTCCTCCGGCCCGCTGCTTTGCAGAAATCCCTTACCGTTGCCTCGAACCAGCTACGAGCGCTGAGGCGGCCTCGCCCTTGGAGAAAGCAGAGCCCACGGGAGCCCGCCCGTCTGCCCCTGGGATCTCATTAACACTTGGCTCCCGGGGGAGCTCGGCTCCCGCCCTGGAGGCTCTGCCGGGCCGGGGGACGGAGGACGAGACTGCGGGAGCCCCGCATGGTCCAGCGTCGCGGCCCTCCGGCTGGACTGGCCGTCCCACAGGCAAGCTTACCTGGCTTCCAGCTGAGCTCAGCGTCCAGGGTCGCCAAAGCGGGGCGCTGGGGCTGGGGCTGCAAGGCAAAGGGCAGGGGAGGCTGAGTCCCTGGCACGCCGCCGCGGGACACCGTGAGTTATTCCCGAGAGGGTCACCGGGCACCCCCAGGCTCCCGGCTGCGGTGGGCAGGCCCTTTGTGTTTGCCCGGCGAGGCCTGGAGCTGCGGCTGCAGGGGACCCTCGGAAGGGAGCCCCGACTCAGCCAGCGCGCCCCACGGCCCGTCGAGGGCTTTCCCTCCCGCTCGCCCGCGGAGGCCGCGACCCCGGATTTCCCACTGCCAGCTGCTTGGTCGCTGGTGCCAGCTGCACCACCGGGGTCCTGGAGGGACATCGCGGGGCAGATCTGAACGGGCAGCACTCTGATGCCGCCAAAGGGCCGGGTCTGCCCTCCCGCCCCGCGGTTCCTACACTCCAGTCCCTCGACAGGACAGGCGGGCGCGGGCCCCGCCAGGTGCCCGTCTGCCCTCGCGCGCGGGACCTCGCTCGGCTCGCGGGGGGTCGGCCGCGCTC